ATCAGAAATTCAGGCAAAAACCACCCATGAATTAGACAGAATTGCTTATGCCTTTTGACAATCATAATTTCACCCGTCGTTCTTCAGGCAATTGCTTTATTCTCTTTATAGAAATTAAAAGAAATAAGAATTTTGACTGGAACATGAGAAAATTATTAATGAAATGATTGTTACTACCTATAACTTCAGAAAAACTTTCTAATGTTTCAAATTAGCTGGACATAAAATAGAAAATCACAGAATAATTCTAATTAACAATTATTAAAGTTAGAAAGATTGGGCAGAAATTTCTAAAAAATTATAAATAAAATGAAAGTTTTATATATACATTACGAAAATTGCATTTAAAAATGCATTATTATTTGATTTTATACTGCAGAACTTAGCAGCAGAAGTTGGAGAAGAGCGATACGAGTCTCCATATAAATGGGCATTTTTGTCTCATTAATAATTTAATAGGTGTCTCCTGCTTGATTTTTCTGTATGGCCACTAGTACTGTCTACATATTGCAATGCAGCCAGGCAGCAGCCAGCAGGCTCTGCCCATCACAGTCCATGGGGGACCATGCCATTGCCACATGCAGAGCTGGGCAGCGCTACTTGGAAATGTAGCGGCGCTACCGCTACCGCTACATGCTCTAAATGTAGCGGGCGCTACCGCTACCGCTACACCCACTAGATTGTAACGGGCGCTACCGCTACCGCTACAGTAAAATGTAGCGCGCTACATTAGCCGCTACAATGGCCAAAATTATTAGAAATCTCTAAATATTTATTGTTCTGCTATTGGGATTTACTCATGAACATTTAATGATAATAAAACATTTTTAAAACATATCAATGCAACTTTATTGCAATTAACTTAACCGAACTAGTATGGTTTACCCCAGGGTTAGATACAGTAAATAAAAGTTGCAGTTATTTTTATGTTTTACCTTCCCTACATGGATGTGAACTTTAATCTACCAATCTTAGAAATTATCCACATATACATATAAATATCAGTCTTTTTTGGATATATATGTGGATTATTTTTGAGATTGGTAGATTAAAGTAGACATCCATGTAGGGAAGGAGAAACATAAAAATAACTGTGTAAAAATAACTGTAAGCAAACTGAAAGATGAAAAAAACCTGTAAGTGGTAACTGGTAACAACTTAACAAGTAACAACTAACATGTTGACACTAGTAACAGGCTGAGGTTGACAACATTACACCGAAATCTTTCGTACGGTTTTATTCTGTAATTTATATTATGTATGTATCATGCTGGTTTTTAAATAATATTTAATACTATTAAGGGGACCGGCTACCCTAAAAATCGGAAATTTTGGCTTTACCGTTTTCTTGACTCATTTTGTAGCTGCTGAAAAGGCGAGTCTAACGCAGTTTACCTCATGTCTGTGCGTGCTATAATTTTTGCGTAAGAGAATTTTAAAAATATATATATGAACATTTTTAACAATATGTACAAAGATTTATTTGAATTAAATCTGTATATATAGATCATTACTCTCGTTAATTACAAAGTGTTTGCACTCGTTTGAAAGCTACAAACGAGACGCGTTCAACAAAGCTACTACCATAGATGTACATTCAATACTTTTTTGTGTAATGCAGTCTTGAACTTATATAAAATGATCATTTTATATCATTATTTACAAATAAATGGTATTTATATGTCATTATTTAGGTTAACTGCAAAGTGTTTGCACTCGTTTGAAAGCTACAAACAAGACGCGTTTAACAAAGCTACTACCATGGATGTTCATGCAATAGTTTTTGCGTAATGCAGTTGTAAAGTTATGTAAAATGAATATTTTATATATATATTTATAAAAAGTCCCATTTATAGCCTATTATTCCCGCTAAATTGAACATAAATAGGTCTAAAGACGCGTGCTGGTACCTTGAATGCAAATAATTGGCAATGGGAAAGCTTGGGCTACAATATCAAGACTTTTTGGGCATATTCTTCTGTTTTCAATGAATTTTACTTTATTTGGCTCCCCCGAACAATTTAAAAATTCAGAAAACGCCATCTTAAAAAAATTAAAACTCCTTGCAGTTTTCAAGCTAAGGCAATGAGAGACATACCATTCGATTTGTAAAAACAATACCTAGCGACTCTAGAAGCCTTTTTTTAATATGTGCATGGTTTGACTTATACATATATGGGAGGGGGAGGAAGGTGGGGGATAAAAATGTGAAAAAAATGGGAAGAACGCGAAAAAAACGTCGAGGAAAATAAAAAATCGGGGCTCTACAGTCGCTAGATATTGTTGCTACAAATCGAATGATATGTGTCTCGACATTGTAGCATGTGATTTGCAAAAGTTATAAATTTTTTTAGAGTACCCCTTATTTGCCGTTTTCTATTAATTCCACGTTTTCTTTCATTTTTTTTTAATTTACATGAACAAAAAGGTCTTAGATTTCAGTTTTACATATGTGTACCAAGTTTCAAAACGATCCGTCTGAAAACAAAAAAGTTTTGTTGGAGGGTAGCCGGTCCCCTTAAGTAAAGTCTAAAGGCTTTATCTATAAATGTAGCGGTAGCGCTGTAGCGGCAAAACCTCGTATCGCTACTTAATTATGTAGCGGGCGCTACCGCTACCGCTACATTGCCTTAAATGTAGAGTCGCTACCGCTACCGCTACTGAAAATGTAGCGGCCGCTAGTAGCGGCCGCTACATGTAGCGCGCTACTGCCCACCTCTGGCTATTAGTAAGGTGCCAGACGCAAAATAAAAATGGCCGGAATCAGCCCTGGGAATGGGGTAATCCAGGACACTTGAAATAAAACCTAATTTTAAAATGTTTGAAGCATGCAGAATGTTCTCATCTATTACTAACACTACTCTGAAGTCCTCCTCTTCCTTTGTAGATGAACTAGATGTATGATAAACTACATTTTCTGTTATTTATACTTGTTTTTCTTTATTGATATGATATTACCATATCCACACATTACTGTATTAATGATGTGTTATTATCATATCCATGAACATGCCATTGAGCATTTACGACAACCTTGTCCACTGCAAGCTTCATATCAGCAGCCATTTAGCATTTCTTCTGTATCAGTATGCTTACAAGATGGCTTATACTTTCACACCATTTTAATTGAGTCAAGTGAGTTTACTCTAACAAAAAAGAATGTAAAAAAAACATACCTGAAACAGAAAGGAATACCATCAAACGGGGTAATATGGGACGGGTGGGGTAAATCAGGATGTGCGTCCCACATTTTTAGAAATGTAGTATAGCAGCTAAACTAATCAAAATATTGCAAAACTAAAATTAGTGGCATAAACTTCAAAATTTTTACTATCTATAATGTATAAAGCTAGTTAAGAAATCCTACATTTACTATCTCTAAAAAATTGCTGAAAAAACTGTGAAAAGTGTGATTTTGGAAAGCACCTCTACCAAAGTCTGGAGCAAAAAAAATATTTGCCATATTAAAAAAATTTTCTTTCATAAAAGTTGCACACAGGTCTTGGTTTTAAAATGCAATTGGCTGAATTTGCCCATCTCATTAAAAGAAAATGGCAGCCATTTTCACATGACGGGGTAATGAGGGACACCCCCCTTGGTAATAAGGGACACCCATAAAAACACATTTACAGTTTAACCTCAGTTATCAAAGGCTCCAGTTAACAAGAAAATTGATTAAGAACAAAGAATACTGATTACATTTATCTTGCTCAGCAAAAAAAAATTCACTTATCAAAAAATTAATGCATAATCTGTCATCACAAAATTCTGCACAGAATGTCATAGATAGAATTGTGCACTGGGCATCATAGAATGAAAAATAATTAACCTAAACTATGATTTATTCCTCCAATACATATGATGGTTGTTACTAAAACATTCCTTTCTGTGTCAGATGTTTTTTACAACCTTTTTTTATAGTGAATTCACTTGACCCAATTAAAATGGTGTGAAATTACAAGCCATCCTGTAAGCTTACAGATATAGAAGAAATGCTATATGGCTGCTGACATGAAGCTTGCAGTGGACAAGGTCATTGTAAATGCTCAATGGCATGTTTATGGATATGGTAATATCACATCGATAATATGGTAATGAATGAATATGGTGATATAGAAAAAAAGGACAAACAAGTAAAAAATATAACTCAGTACTCACTGCAGTGAGTTACAGAGAGCACATTTTCTCGTCGACAAAAACTTGTAGTCACGGACAGATGAACATGGTGAGCACAATAGTGCATTTTTTCCATAAATGAGAAAATGCGCTAAAAACACGGAAAATTTCATTATTCTACAGCTACATCATCTACAAAGGATGAGGTAAACTTCAGAGTACTGTTAGAAATAGATGAGTACACTCTGCATGCTTCAAACATTTTAAAATTAGGTTTTCTTTCAAGTGTCCCTTATTACCCTGTTCCCATAGGTAATTCGGGAGGCTGTTATTTTCTGTCTGGCACCTTAAGAATGGCATATGAAATTTTTTCAAAGATGCCATACATTAGCCCTTGCAAGACCTTTAAAATGAGCCCAAACTCATTTATGTAATATATCATGGTAAGAAGTTATTAACAAAAAACGCTCACAACCGTCCCTTATTACCCCCATTGATGGTATATATCTAATGATGGCATGATGATTTTTGCTATTTGCCAGAGACTATCTAAGTTTAAAAGTTATTATTATTTAGTAATAATTGAAAACTTTGAATTATTTTAGTTTCCAAATAATTTTAAATAATAAGTCTTCTTCTCTTTTGTCTGAAAATTGTATACATATGCCTCTTATTCCTGATCATAGTTTTGAAATTTGCCTTTTAAAATTGTGAATTCAAAGCATATTGCATCATTAACACTTCTGTTAATCATCTGGAAAAAATTAATTGAACCATAATGCTTGTAATTAATTTTGTTTTCAATATTTTCTCTAGTTTTCTTATAGTGTGTGCATATTCATCCTGCAAGCAGATTCTTACTAATTTGTTCATTTTTCAGATGTTGATACCTTGAATAAAGGAAAGCTGCTTCAAAGCCTGCAAGAAAGATGTCGTCGTACATGCACTCATTTGGAACAGAAGATAGCTTCAGGAAACTCGGATTCTCTTTCTTCCCAAAGCTTCCGTGAGGTGACACTACTGCACATCTTGCTATGCTGTCCCTGCATGGCAGAATTTCCTGAAGTTCAAGCTAATGAAGATTTGTGGTCATTGGTGCGTGAATCCCCAATGCTGGATGATGACTGCTTTTTGCTTGTAGTACGTGGTCTCAATATGCAGCAACTCGTGTACCCTCTGCTCTCCTCCTTGCCTACACAAATCTCATTGTCTTTGCTGAGTGAAGCTTTGAACAACAGTGGAACAGCTGCTCCTGGACAATTGTCACTAATTACAGAACTTTGCCGTACAGTTTTGTTTAAAATGTGCACTGTAGAATGTTCTGATGATTTCTCAATTCTTAATAAACTCAAAATTTGGTTAGATAAAATGGTACAGTTGTTTGTGGTTAAAAATCCCAAGACTTCAGGCTATGCTCTACTCCATATGTTTGAGCTGTTGCACTTGACCCTTAAAGTTGTGACAAAACAGGATTTAGAGAAGCCTTGCTCATCTCCAATTTACATTCCACTTCAAGGAATATTTCGTGTCCACAATCATCAGAGCTATGAACGTCATGCACCGGAATTCATCTCTACTCTCCTTGACACTTGCGCATTTCTCATGCGAAATTGTGAGGCTTTAATTGAAAAAATAGATGTTGAAACCTGGATGCAATGGACGGAGGTTGATTGGTCGCCTTCTCTCTACTGTGTTGAATCGAAAGGCGTGGATGTTATATCTTTGCAAAGGTTGATTGCCTTTAGTGCACACTGTATTCTGAAAATTTCAAGTCTCACAAGTAAAGAAAGTGATGGTACTCTTGCTGTTATAAATGCTGCATTTCTGGAACAAAAAGCCCTGATGGGATTTATTCGCCAAGTTGCTATTGATGCTAATCACGATCCTGACTTGGAATTGCCTTTGACTGAAATACTTGAAATTTTAAGAGTAGATGCTTACTCTTGCAGCGAAGTTGCCAGTGTTCAGTCTAATAAAAGAAAAGAGAAACTATTAAGAGTGGTTATAGAAACATCCAATCAGTTGAGCTTTTTTGCCTCAAATGACGCGGCTGATATTATTCTGGAAAATGCTTCATCTCTGTCAGCATCACAAATTGAACATCTGTTAAATAGCTTCATGCTCCACTTCCTTCAGCTTCAAGATCCTCAGCGGTGGCAGAAGGTAGTACTAATCATTAATAACGCTCATTATAGAGTCCCTTTATGGATTAATACTGCAGTAATTATACTCATGAGAACTTGGATTTTTTTAAGTTTCATCTCTAACACTTGTTGATGCTGCCTTACTTTCCGAAATTTATATCTGGACATTTTTTCAAATAAATAGAAGTAAACAATAATAACACACGCTAATTATCAATAACCATTTTCATGAATGTGATTTGGAATTGTTCTTTGTAATCTCTTAGATTAGGTTCCTGTTATTATTATTGCTGATTTTTGCAGGTGCTGCTTGAGCTGTGCCGCAGTTTGGACGCGCATGCGCTGCGCCGTGCTACGATGACCGCGCTGCAGCGCAACCCCGTGAGCCGCGACTGGCTGAGTACGCCTGAGTTCGGTGCTCATGTCACGGCGCTCTGTAACATCCTGGCCATCGACTCTGTAGTGGTCAGTTCTGGTATACGTGATTCATCACCTCACTGAAACATGATGCAAGTGTAGTGAATATTGAAAATGTACATTACAGGCGTGAATCGCAATATTAAAATGCGTATAACTTACGGAAAGTTTCTGTGCGGTTTTAATAAACATCAGAGCCGGTAAAATGTATGTTGAAACTATTCAAAAGATTTACTGGGTGATGACTGTACCCTTAAATGCCATATTTTTGTTTCTTTGGACAGCTCGGTATATTTGATTAAATATTTAGGTACAAACACGTTCTCTATTCCTTGTTCATGATAGTATGATATCATGTTTTGTATAATGCTTTCTGCTGACCTATTGAGATAAAAATGCGAGATTGATATAACAGTAAGATCGGCCGTTTCATTCAAACTAAAAATCTAAATCCCAAATAACAGTCTCTCTGAATTCAGGACAATAATATAAAAGCATTCATGGTGAAATATCGTATACGTCGTACTTCAGGCAGGCGGTGACTCGTGCCAGGCACGTGAATGTTGGTGGACGTGCGTGCAGCGGCCACATGCGACCGTGACGCGCCTCGTGCTGCACGCCGTCGCCGCCACGGGCGTCGCGGCCGCCGTCGCCGCTGCGCTCGACTACCTCGCCCCTCTCTGTCGCGCCCGCCACGGTCTTTGCTCTCTTCTAACTTCTATTGATTTCTTGATGTTCCATGCTTTTTTCTATTGCAATATTCCGAGCTCTTAAGATTCCAATAATAGCTCCTGGGATATTTGTTCTGTGCTGTATTATTAACTAGCATATTCACACTTCTATAATTCTGTAAAATAAATTCCAGATTCAGAGGGAACCACTTCAAATCTAACGAGCGCAATTGGGAACTCTTTGAAGAACCTCTCTTCATCTTCGGAAACATCTGCTCAACATGAGGCGTTCATCAAATTTTTTGACAATTTATGCGCAGCAACTGCTGAAAAACAAAGTAACTCTTCTGCTTTGATAATTTCCGAGGTAACGACTGAAGTTTTACTGCCCGGCTTACGGTGGCAGCCGAGCGATAAAGAGGACGTAGCATCAGCTCTTCCATCTCTTGTGGTACCTATTGCCATGTTACAAGTGAGTAGCGTTTTGCTGAAAATGTAGGTCTGATGATTTGCGTGTATTTTAAACTGAACATTTCTATGAGCTCATGAAAAAATGAATCATTCACCGGTATTTGGTTAATTTAGACACTACGGTAATTATTGCTGTGCAGTCATTACTGCGACACTGTCCTGAAGAATTCTTCTCTGGTCTTCCTGCCAATGAAGCCGTATCCTTGACGCTTTTCCTGGCCACGAGTTTACAAAACTGCCGAGCATTGCTGAGTGCTATCTATTCAAGAGACGATTCGGTTTCAAAAAATCTGACGACAAATGGACGACTTGCTGCAGATGATAAAATTTGTAATGGTTATGACCATTCAACAAGCAACGAAGTCTCAATTGATTTTAATGGCTCTAAAAACACAGATACAGCGGTCTGGATATCATCAGAATTGTCGTCTAGCCAGACACTGTTGGTCTTGAAGCATCTATCTGAACTCAAAGAACTACTTAGCATCATTGCTGTCCACTTGGCTACGAGTGAGGAACACGTTCATGGTAAGTGCCGCGTTCCCGAAGTTCCATTTTTTCAATAGAACTCATTAGTTGGTAGAAATACATTGAAAATTTAATTTCTGGTATGTATATATATATATATATATGCCCAGTGTGTTGAAAGTTGAAAAAAGATTATTATACTTGATTCAGTGTTCCACTGCACATTTTTGTATTCATGTTTTTTTCCTACAGCATCTGAACTCCTGCTGAAATATTTCCAGCCACACTCTAAGAACTTCTCTTACTCTTGTATGGTTATCTTGAGGCCAATTTTTGCTACAACACAAGCCTTGAATCTGAAAATCTTTTTGCCGCATACAAAAACGGCACAACTTATAGAAGTTATCCAATCGGCGTCGACTAGATGCGCCACAACTGTACCTCAACTTAGTGACTTCAATTTGTGGAGTCGAGAAGAATGGCTTCATTCTTTATGTCAGGTGAGCATATGTGCAGGCAAGCATCAATCAGAAACAAAACAAATTAGTCATTAGATTCGTCTGCTTGTGTTGACTGCTGCGTAATGCGTGAACATGTATAAAATTGACTTTAAACTTGGCTTTGAAACCTCTATGAAGTCATACATTTTCTTGTACGTTATGACTAACACAATATTATTTGAAAATTTTAAACTTATTACAAGAACTGAGCGGCAGGACAGAGAATTTTTGAGCGTTTTAAAAATATATAGGTACCACTTAATACTTTAAAAAATTTTCCATCTTAAACCATGAATTCCATTACTAATCACTTGTTCGTAACATTTGCCTGTGGTCGTGGCGTGTTCTGCGAGCAGATTCTGCCGGAAGCCTCTGCTGATGAGTGGAACACAATTGCTTCTATTCTAACTCGTATTCAGGTTCCTAAACAAGTAAGTAATGTAACGCCTTTCTAATTCAGAATCTGTCACCCACTACATTTTTTTAATTTGCATTTATTTTGATAAGTCTTTGATACCAAATAAATTGAATTTACGAAGGGCCAAATTTTTTTGAGACTAGGTCAGGTTTTATTTTTAGAGGGCATCAGTATCCGCGTGCTAATAAGTAAGAGAAGGAATAATTTAATCTTTCATAGCCATTGACGCCAATGAGTTACAGGTAATGAACAATGCGCCACAAAAATGTAATTAATTTATCTCCAGGGAGATGAATCATGTGAGAGTGAAGTCGGTGCTCTGATTTTGCTGTGGGATGCGCTTCAACTGCTGCTCCGGCAACCGTTCATCAACGTTACTCTGTTTTTCAAGAACTTCACGTCAGCTGCTACTGTAAGTTTTTTCTTTCAAAAAGTACTTTTTCCTCTAAGCCGCACTTTCAAGTACAATTTCATTATCACGAACCCTAACTTTATTACCCTTTTTATCTGTGCAGGAGGCACAGGAATTTTGCAATAAAATCTGATTTTGTAGTAATGCCTCATTTGTTGAATTTTTCTTCTATTAGACTCGTGTTCTCAAAGTTGAAACCCATCTTTTTTGGGAGGGGGGAAGAATCTAGCATCCTAAAGTAATGTTGTTTTCTTCCAGCAAATTTTAAGGTGGGAATGTGCGAAGCTGACTGGAGGAAAGCAGTTGCTGATGTTGTGTCAGACGTTCCTGTGGTGGTGTCAGCAGTCTAGCGGGATCAACTCGACCATGGCAGCCCTTGGAACTGCACACACTGTTCTGCTGCTGCTCAGAATTCTGGAACTTGTGCGAGAATTGGTGGTGGGAGGAAAAATTTCCAACGGCAAGCCATGTGAACAGATAAGCAAGAAAACCGGCAAGAAATCTACAGACAATACGATGCAACGTAAAGATGATCGTGAGAGGGTCAATAGTAATGATTTTATCCAGAACTCTCAGGTTTCTTCTCTCAAAGTGGTTCCGAAGGAAGAGGCGCGAAAACTAATTTCAATGTTAGTCGTTCCACTCGTGAAGTATTTTGGAGATGATGACAATACAGCGTTGTTGGCTACTCATCTTGCAGTGGTTTTAGAAACGTGAAAATTCTCATTTGTTTATCGAAGAATAAAAAGTTGAGAGATGTTCCTGCAGAAATTGTTTTATTACAAACTCAAATCGAGAATGACAGGAATTGTAGTAACAATTTTTATTCCTAACTGGGATGAATTTCAAATTCTCGTGACTATAAGTGTAGGTACTTACACGCTGAGTGATGTAAAGGGATTTCGTCGAAACCTAGGCCAATTTACAAAAAGACAAGAAATACCTAGTGTGCTTTCAAAAATGCAGCTGCATATTGAGTTAGTTTTCTTCACGATAAATTAACTAGTATTATTGTTACGTCGCGATTCACAATTTATACTTCATAGAAGTAGAACGCCTTCGAAGGCTACAGTTGATTGAGAGATATTTAGCCTGGCTTACTGATGATGTGTTCTTTGCAGATTAATATGCCAACCCGTTCGTTCCTTAGTAACGAATATCTCTGACAAACGTAATTACAGCTAAAAAATAACACTTTCCGGCAGGCATCTCAACTATGTAACAAGCCTCAGCAGGTTAGCCATGATGTGTTGGTGCGAGAAAGCATAGAAAAGCAAGGCAGCGACGACCGTCCATACAAGCAACAAGCAACTGCACAGAAATGGCTCTTCTACGCAAACTTGCCACAGTCAGTCAAGATCTTCAGGTCTCACTGGATCTTTGAGAGGCACTATTGACCGACGGTGAACGTCTCGAGACAGAGCTTTGCGCATGTCTGTAAAAAAAACAAGAATGGCAATGGTGTTGGAGAATTTTTACTATTGTTATTCAAAAGGGGGCCAAAACTCGTTCAACAAAAAAATAGGTATTTCTGATCTCGAGGTACCACAGTAATACAGAAAGTCAGAAACCAATTTCAAAATATTTGCATTGTTAACATCACATCACCATGGAAGCTAAGGCTGTAACAGAAGTAAACTACAAAATATTCTCATAAAGTTCCACACAGGATTGTTAATTAATGTATTGTCTACCACCTCAGTAGAGCTTACCGTAAGCATCCTCCTCAGGAGTGCCGGAATAATACTGCAGAACCGTCCTGTAGACACAGTAGCCCAGGTTGCTGTACATGCTGATAGCTACGGCATTGCTCACGCGCACGAAGAGGTCAACAAAATAACAGCATTTCCTGAAAGCAACAATAACCTCTTTTCCTAGAATTATGTAGGTACAACTGTAACAAAATAAAATTAAATTATACACATTGACAAATTTTGCATTAAAAAAACTTTGCTGTAAAACATCAAAATTAGAGGTAGCTAATAAATTTTGGATTTTTCATGATGAATATTTGGAGCACATTTATAAATATCCTGATAGTAGTTAGCAAATGAAATACTTCATAACAATTTACTCGAAGAACATAAGTGAAAACATACAAAATAATCAATACGGTTCTGCAATTAGAGTACCAATGTCTAGAAGCACTCACTTAGTCTTTGGCAAATAAGTTTAATTATAATAAATTACATAATAGTGAAAAATTTGGTAGAATAAGCTGTAGAGAGAATCAATCATAATATTGATGAATCAAGAAAGATGTTCTGATAGGGAAAGATTTCAATAATAGAGGGAAAACCCAAATATCACTCAACATATTAAGAAAAATAATTAATAGCCTGAAAGAAACTGTATCTTGTTTGATTATAAGATGCTTTAATGCTTTTTTGTAGGATCCAGAACAAAAGCTCTATGTAAAAGTTCTATGTGCCTTCAAGATTAATAGTTCCATGAACTAAAAATATCAAAGCTGCCCAACAAGAAGGGATTACTTTCCTACAACATACTTCTCAGAAATATCTTCTAGGATCTCCATTAATTGATTGGCAAGTCCAAGTCGCCTGTACTCGGGTGCTACTGCCAGAGCCGTTACATGGCCATGCCAGTTCTCGCCAACACCTTCAGCTTTGCCCATTACTAGAAATTCAAATGTCAAATGTTAGTTTTGGTTCCTCAAGAAGAAGAAGTTTTGAGGTACTTTGTTAAGTCTGAGGGTAATAAGAAGAATTGAAGTCTCTGAAATTATAAAAATTTTCAATTATATCATAATGAAAACCTTTTTTCAAGCAACTATTTATTCAAAGGTATATCACTGTCAATACTATGACAAATCTTGGGCAAAAAAATTATTTTTGGGAAATTTCATCAAAAATTTCAATTAGTTTTTAATTAGGTAAAACAAAAGGTTTGGACATATTCAGCAAGCTTTGTAGAAGTAATTTAACTTCATGAACTCTAGATCAAATAATGAACTTACTGTATCCCATTATTGTGTTGCTTGGAGACTCAGCCACCTGAAAATACTCAGGCCAATGGGCCAGATACTGCAAATAGAAACTCAAGCCATATGTTTCTGTTAAAGGATCTAAATTTACATGGTTAAATTTGAACATGTCATCACAACAAAATGGCCGCAGGGTTGTCATGATTAGGTATATAATGGTTTTAACATGGAAAAATTTACAGAACTGAAAAAGAAAGTTCTCAAGATTATTAGGATAATTTACCCTAAAAATTTCACCAAGGTCTTTTTTGAGGTTTTGGGTACACGGAAGAGAAACATTGCCAGAGTAAAGCTCCTCAATTATTATGAGCCAATGTCTCAAGTTGTCACTTTCATTTCAATTTTTACATTTTTCCGAAGAAAAATTGTGTTGATCAAAAATGTACATACACAAGACAGTTTATCACAGTTTAAGCCGTACATTTACCCCCCAGATTAAACCTCTAACATCATTCGATTCCTAAAGTGGGGCCAAGAAAATAACAATGGCACTTATCATTTTCAGTGCAGCAAATCAGTAGGGGGGGGGGTAATTTGTCAATCAACTTTATACATTGGGAGGAATAACATAAATTTCCTTCTACATCCATTGTATGCTAAAGCCCAATTCTGTCTCAAGTAGGAAAATTAGTACATCTGTTCTGTCAGGTAAGTGAAATTTCCAGTTGGGCATTCAGCCAAACTAGAAAATTAGGAAGATGTCGCCAGTGAATGACAAAAATACCCTTGATTATGAACAATTTCACACATTTCTTTGGCCCTTCCCCAATTTATTCAATGAAACCATGAAAAACAATAAGTTGGGCCAGACATTTTAGAAAACCAGCCTTTAAATGATAGTTTTTGCCCACCTTCTCAGAAAAATTCTTCCCAGTATTCTAGATTGGTCACCCAGTACTTCTTCAAGAGAGAGGTCTATGTTAAGTGGACCTAAAAAATCCAATCAGGCATTGAAAATGGAACAACCATAGGGCCTGCCCAGGAGCTTGCAAAGTTGTACAGTCATTACTGCAAAGGTGTATCTAGCTCTATTGCAATGCCTGTAAGGCAAACTTACTGTCTGAGAATGCAGAACATTTTTTTACACTTCTCTTTAGTTTCACTACTTGTTTATTTGTTAGTATGTCTGCTACAAATCTTATAATCAATATTTAACACCTACCTCTCCAATCGATCTGAAATTTGGCACACTTGTGTAAAGTTGGAGACAATGCATGAATCAATTGACATATTTTTTTATATATTATAAAAATTAATTTTTTTCATATATGAAAATAAAATTAGAAATTCATTGTAGATGTGTAACATTGGAGACATTGTATTCTTTAGAAGTGTTGTCTTTAAAAAGTAACTTTTAAACCCATATTTTTCTTTGGAGCATTCCCTTGAGCCACCAGGCATGGAACATATAGTAAACCTTTTGAGCTGCAACCAGAGGTTTCCTCACACCATTTTTAGGACTGCACAATTATCAAACGGGGTAATAAGAGATGGTTTTGAGCATTTTTTGTTAACAACTTCTTACCATTAAGCATTTCATAAACAAGTTTGGGCTCATTTTGAAGCTCTTTGCAAAGGCTATCAAATGGCATATCTAAAAAATTCCATATGCTATTCGTACAGTGCCAGAGGCAAAATAAAAGCATCCTGAATTTTCCCAGGGAACAGGGTAATCCGGGACACTTGAAATAAAACTAAATTTTAAAATGTTAGAAGCATGCACAGTGTGCTCATCCATTAATAACAGTACTCTGAAGTCCTCCTATTAATTTGTAGTTGATTTAAATGTAGAATAAATGACATTTTCTGTGATTTTTCCTTTATTGACATATTACCTTATTCATACATTACCGCTTAATTGATGTGATATTAATGGACATGCCATTGAGCAGTGACAATGTTCAACCTTGTCCACTGCAAGCTTCATATAAGCAGCCATGTAGCATTTCTTCTGTAGGCAAGCTTACAGGATGGTTTGTAATATTGCACCATTTTAATTTAGTCAAGTTGTTACCGGTGTCTCAACGCGGGTGAGACGAACTCGTCGCCTACTTTGACTAACTTGTTGGTAACCAAGAATTAGTGAAACTAATATGATGACTAGAGGTTGAAAAGGAAAATGAAACGCAAATACTGGTTCTAATAGCTATTGGGATCTCATACAGTGAAAGTGACAGAATAATGACAGAATAAAGGGAAATGTGTAAAACTGATTAGCTGAAGCTGAACTAAATATGACGCCAAGTAAAAATGCACACGGACCAATGAGTAAGATGCACACCAATAACTGCTTCCAATGCAAGTCAGTCAGGAGGTTTATAGGGTGCTAATCACTCAAGAGGTCAAGGACTAAGGAGAGCTTTCCAGCAAATCACTTGAGAGGTTAGGGACTAGGGAGCGTGGGACAGCAATTTATACAGCACCACACTTTAGAATAGTTTTTGGCATAAATTTATGTAATCAATTACTGATCTAAACCTGACCTGAAAAGAATGAGAATTATTTTAGTTGAATTTATAAAATAGTTAAACACTTCAATATAAACACACAGTAACACACATAAGAGGGAAAAAGGGGACAACATATAAGAGGAACAAGAGGGTGTGCTGCAAAGTAGCCTAAACCACCCCCGCCAACAAAGTGAATTTACTATAAAAAAAAAAAAGATTGTAAAAAAACATGCCTGAAACACAAAGGAATAATTTAGTGACAACCATCATATTTTCAGAGAAAAAATCATTGATTAGGTTAATTACTTTATATTATATGTTGCCCGGTGAACAATTCCATCTATGACATTCTATGCACAGTTTGGCACTGACCAATGATGCACTAATTTTTTGTCAAGTGAAACTTTTTCACTTGAAATTTTTTTTAAGCCAACACCTGTGTGCAACTTTTATGTAGTAAAATTTTTCAATACCATCAACCGGGACTACTTGGGATGATTTCGAACGTTTTTCATTCATAACTTCTTACCATGAAACATTTCATCTTACTCGTTTCAAAGCTCTTTGCCAGGGCTATTGCATGGCTTCTCCAAAAAAATTTCATATGCTATTTGTAAGGTGCCAGAAGCAAAAAAAAAGAGTGTCCCAAGTAGCCCCCTCGAATGGGGCTACTTGGGACACTTGGAATAAAACTCAATTTTAAAACATTTGAAGCATGCAGAGTGTACTCATCCATTACTAACAGTACTCTGAAGTCCTTGTCTTTCATTGTAGAAGATGTTAGAGGTAGAATAAATGACATTTTCTGTGATTTTTACTTGGTGTTCCTTTATTGATATGATATTACCATATACATTAATTACCATATTATTGATGCGATATTACTGTATCAATGAACAGGCCATTGAGCATTTCAACTACCTTGTCCACTGCAAGCTTCATATCAGCAGCCTTAGAGCATTTTTTCTGTATCTGCAAGCTTACAGGACAGCTTGTAATTTCACACCATTTTAATTGGGTTAAGTGAATTAACTATAAAAAAAGATTGTGAAAAACATAGCACCTGAAACAGAAAGGAATGTTTTAGTGACAACCATGATATGTTTTGGAGAAATAAACCATAGTTTAGGTCAATTACTTTTCATTCTATGATGCCTGGTGCACAATTCTATATATGACATTCTATGCACAATTTTGTGATGACCAACAATACACTAATTTTTTGACAAGTGAAATTTTTTTTCCTGAGCAAGGTAAATGTGATCAATATTCTTTGTTTTTAATCAATTTTTTTCTTAACTGAAGCCTTTGCAGAGGTTCTACTGTAAATGCGTTTTTGGGTGTGTCCCGAGTAGCCCCGCCGTGCAGAAATGACCACCATTTTTTTGGGGATTGAGGTATGTAAATTCCGCAAATAAAGTTTTCATGCTGACATTTGTCTGCCACTTTTTTCTAAGCAAAATTTTTCAATACGGCAAATATTTTTTTTAATATAGACCTTAGCAGAAGTAACTTTTCAAAATATTGTTTTTCGCCATTTTTTTCAGGAATTTTTCAAAGCTAGTAAATGTAGTATTTTTGAACTTCCCTTATACTACTTAGATAGGAAAAATGTTGACGTTTATGCCACTATATTCAGTTTTGCAATATTTCAATTAGTTTTGCTACTAAAACAGTTTTACGCCATGTCGGAGGACTGTCCCGAGTTACCCCACCCATCCCGAGTTACCCCGCCCATCCCGAGTAGCCCCAGTTGATGGTACGGTGAACATTTTTTTTTGCTACAGACCTTAGTAGAGGTACTTTTCCAAAATCTCACTTTCACACTTTTTTCAATGATTTTTTAGAGGTAGTAAATGTATGATTTCTTAACTTACTTTATGCTAAATAGATAGGAAAAATGTTAAACTATATACTACCACTTTTTTTGTTTTGCAATATTTTAATTAGTTTAGCTGTTATAACATTTCTACAAAATGTTGGAGGACTCTCCCTTATTACTCCACCCATCCCTTTTTACCCTCTTTGATGGTATACAGTAACACTTTGACTTCTGATAAATGTGTGTATAGACTGTTACAGTTCAACACAATGATAGATAGCAGTGAACTTAATGGAGCCATCAGATTACTTATTTTTTGGTATGCACTGTCGGTTTTGGGATGATCTCCTAGTTGCCTCAACTCTAGAGGATGACCTAGTTGGACCGCTTCTGGGGCTCTTCTTTCTGCCAGCTGCTTTCCCCCTCTCATTACCCTTGGGTGGAATTATGGGCCACTCATCCATCTTTGAACCACTTTGTGTTGCCAAGTCCATATCAGGTGAATCTGATGTCAGAATGAGTTCAAAATTCTGTACACATAGAACCACAGCTAATTCATTGTCAGAGCAAGCAGCCTCATCTTTTAGGGAAGACATTGATGGTTGAAAACTCTTTTGTTGGCTTCCAGTTGCACTGGAGGGCTTGTTGAGGTGGCCTTGGTTAAAGCATCTGCAGGTAGATTAAAGTGTTTGGCAGGAGCTCAGTAACAATGGACCTACGCTTGCTCTTGGACTCAAGTGATAGGTTTAAAGAAAACAAATCTTGAAGAACACCAACCAAACTAATCAGGAAGGATGCAGCTGGAGCACCTTGCTCATTCAGCAACAGATTCCTAGGGTTACAATTAAAGCAAGAGATTTTCTGAGCACCAGTCACAGCTGATGTCTGTTTACTGGTCCCAGAATTTCCCAGACTTGATGAACCTCAGCCACTGTGCAGTTGCCATGCCATCCTGTCCC